TGTGGCTTATTCCACCCATGGAAGCTTCCAGCTGCAATTCATCCTCATCATCTTTACAGTTAACTCGGCCCCAGGCACTCTCCACCCAACAAGACACACCCCAACCAAAAATAACTCCTCTAGGCTGGATCCCAGCATGTTACATAAAAAATAACATACGTCACTGAAGAGCTGTGACTCACATGCTGCAGTGAAATAAGGCTACGGCACAAATGAATACTCAAGCATAAACTCTGTATCGGAGGAAAATGAATCTTTTGTGTACTGATTCCATGCCAGTGACTCTCGGGACCCACAGGACAAGCAGCAGCTGTGATGTCCGCTGCTACTGCTGTTATATAAGAGGACATCCATGTATTCACATAATTCATTTTAACCCCCGTGACAGCTCTGATGTGTGTGGTGTGATGTGTAGATAAGAGCAGCATCAAGGAACACATTTTTTGCTCCAAAACATAAACACAGGATTACTCAGGGTTTGACAGGACAGCAGCCTGTTCCCTTAAAAAAATACTGAACAGGATCCTATACAGCCCACAGGTTTAAAACCTGCAATATGCATTTTTTTATCTGCACAACCCAAGCTCCTTTAATCCTCTGCTTTGCTCTTGTATGCATATATTTATTTCACTATAAACATCTGCTAATGTAGATTTAAGGTGCCATCTTCCTCGCTGTGACTATGTGTGAGTCAAAGCTCTTTGCCCAAGTGGGTGTTCTGTTTTCCCATCTTTGTTTACAGGGATGCAAAAGATGCGTGTTTACAGGTTTTCAACCCACTGACGCAAGCAGCATGATGTTGCTGTGCTCCTCTGTGAGTGAGCAATCTCAGCATATGGCATTTCTGCACTCTTGGCTGTGGCTTTCATCAGCAACCCTCCAAAGCCAACTGCTAAGCTTGGATGTTTACCAAACACAACAAATTAAAAATGGCACAGATCAGTGTCAAAATCTGAGAAATAATTAATCCAGTCCTGTGAAAACATTGCAGAAAGCACAGGTTTTCACTCACATCAGATAAAAGCATCTTATATGTTATAAAAAAAAATGACTGTTTAAGTATTAGCTGTTTGTTTTGCTTTTGTTTACATTGGCCCCTTTCTCCAGCTTTTTTTTTCCCCAAAGTTTATCTCTGTCAGTCATTTGCAGCCAGCAACTCTTTTCCTAAAAATGCCTACCTTAAGGAATGCAGTGAGCTTTATTTATGTGAGAAATATCTTTAGAACATGTAAGAAAAAATTACATTTTCCCACCACTGGGGAAAAAATGATGGCTACTAGCCTACATGGATCCAATTTTAGGCTCTTGTGAAGCGTTGGCTACTGCACAGAAATACTTTTCATACACTATAATGTATTGAGATGCTGTTCAAACAGAAGTAACTGAGCTGGTTGTGTGTGTGTGCAATCAAAACTTCATTTAAAAAACTGATTTTTAGTTACTCAACATACCTTAAACGAGCTGTGTAAAACGTAGCCTATTTTTTCAATGAATGGACATAAACTGCCTTGAATACAATTAGAGACATTCATCATGGCATTTGTAAATAAAGGCACTATAGCATTACTAACAATATAAAGAAAGAACAATCCAGGTGTCAGCAGTATATTTGGTTAACGGATCACCATCATGATCCAAAAGTCATTTCCAACAAAACAAAGTGGGCATCGCTTACCGAAATACACAGTCTTGTCACACTTTGGGCACTTTGAAGCCATTTTGGGTTGTGGGTCGAGTCTGGTTTGTCCGCAGCGGCGTCCACTCTCTCTCTCTGTCTCTGTCCTCCGGTTCTTCTCTCCACAGCAAGTGTCCCGCTCTGCTCCCTGAAGCTGGGAGCATCAACTGCTACTCATTAACATGGCCCCTCCCCCGCCACGATTACCATCCTCATGACGCCTTCGTGTGTCGTGGGAAGTCTCGTCACTTCACTTCTTTTTTGCATTCCACGCTATCCAGGTTTCAGAATAGCTAAATGAAGCTATTTGCTTTTTTGATACAGTTGACTTAACTAGTTCCTATTTGGGGTGATGATGAGCAAAAGGCTTCAACTCACAAACTGAATTTATTTCAAGATGTGTGATAAGTCTTATCCATGTTTATGAAATTTAAGGCATTTGTATACTTCAAATTGTGAAACAGCATCTGAAACATACTCACTTCTCACTTTTCCACTGTCAGTTTGGCAGGGGGTTGTGTTTGTAATTTGCTGTAGCTGTCTGAAAGCAATATGATTTTACACAAGATGCCAGGTTTGCAGTGTTAGGAAAATATGCAGAAGTTGAACTTTTCTTTCAAGCTTATTTTTTTCTTCCATTTTTCACAGTTACCTCTGTACCTATTTGCACAATTTATTCCATTTTGCCCTCCTTTATGACCACAGACGTTTTATCCTGCCTGTTGTGTGGTCATGCAAACTGCCATAAACACAAACCATTTGTTCAGATGACATTTTTGTATGACCCAGTTTGTTTCAAGCATTGAATCTTTCAGATTGTACGTGTTATGAGCAGCACTCAAAGGTAGCATTTCTTTCTCCGTGGGCCAGCCTGTGTTTTGTCACAGGTCAGGCGGGAAAATGTTTGTGGCGGTGAAGCAGTCCACTGAGGCACATGCACTCCCACTTCCCTTTTCCTCTTTTCCACAAGAGGAGTAGGCAGTGTCTGACTGAATCACAAAGCTCTCTTTCAGAGTGAGTGGCTTTTAGGAATTTGTTAGGCCAAGGAAGATGTTGAAACGTTGCTCGGGTGGATCAGCTTTCACTCAAGTAAAGTTGCTGGCTTCATGACAAATTAGGCCTAATGAAGAAAACAGCTTCTGTATTTCTCACAATCCAGAATGACATGAAGCTGTTGTATTCACCTATGGTGACTAATTAAAAGAGTTACTGACAACACAGTACGTTATCAGTTTCTCCAGCAGTGTCTCTCTCGTCTTGACTCTGACCGAGTTCATCTCTTTCACACATCAGTGCTGTCTGCTCTGTCTTTCTAGTGACACAGTGCAGGTCCTGGTCCAGGAACAGACTTTCTGATATTTCTCACATCTGTGTTCCAGCAGATTAGCTCCCGTCAGCATGCCTGTAATAATTTCCTCCTTATCTCTGAGTTCACAGTTTTGAAAAGAACTTAGACTAACGGTCAACTGGAGACTTAACAGCTTCGCAAATGACACACAGATTTTGGGGGATTCCTGATCAGTTATAACCTAACAGGTCTGGCTGAAAGTACTGTTTAAGCAAAAATGCCAAAGATTCACAGGTACTAGCTTCTTAATATGTGCCATTTCATAGTTTTCTATGATTGTATATGATTGTAAATTCACTATGTTTGTACTTTTGACTGGTGCTCAGACAGCAAAAACAATCTGGACATGAACATTTTACACATACACACACATATAATGAGCATGATGCTCCAGTCATGGTGCATTTATCGAACATTCAACACAGCAGGATGTCATCTTCACATTATCTATAGTGTCCAGTGAGATGTCTCACAGAGTTGTTATGGAGAGAGTAGATGGTCTTCCTGCCTCAGTACTCACAGTGTGTGCTTCACAGAGGACATGAGTTCATTACTGTTCACCTCTCATTGTTTGCTGTGGTTGCAGGTTTGTCGCTAGCTCAACTGCAACACACAATCAGTCTGGAACTTGCTCAGAGGAGAAGAGGTCAAATATACCACAGAGTGAAATGGAGACAAAGTGGAGGAAGGAGATTGAGATTTAAGGGCCAGTGTTCTCTGGATTCCTCAGCTCAGTGAACACATGCAATAAAGATGAAAGGAAGCTTATATTACTTGCTAACTTTAGTAACATATAAAACATTTATGAGGATGAAAAAGAGAATATACAATCAGCAAGCCCTCCCCTGAAAAAGTTTAAAATTTTTATTTTATTCATTTCAAAGTTGAAAAATACTGTACATGGAGCAAAAATGAATGATAAGTGAGGGAGTAAATGACTCTGACAGGCTTGTTCTCTGTGATTTGGTGCTTCTAAGGAGTGGGTAATCCCAGGGAGACAGGAGAGGACATATCCAGGCCACTGGTTTTTCTTTTAACTTGCTTCTGATCTGGTGCTTGGTTCAGACCCACACTGTTTCCCCAAAGCAGATCAAGCATGCAGCCCCGCAGGGAAAAAACAAGAATAGAAAAGGAGTAGAGAGATGTTTGAGGTGGTCCTAAGGGCCATGTTTTTATAGGCTATAGGATAAAGCAAACAAAAGTGGAAAAAGTACACATAAATGTGACACATCCTAATCATTTCTTTGTCAAAAAGTCCTTTTTAAGGGGCACCCTTTCGTGGGTTCTACACATGAAGATCAGTTTACCCTTCACAAGCAGTACTCAGCCCTTTGCTCTACACAGAACCACTAGGCTGAGATCTGTGACCCAGCAGCAACAGAGAGGGGTGTTTATGAATTCAAGCTGCACACCTGTCGTAAACTTCATCCCATCCCCAAGCTCCAAGGCCAGACAGGTGCCAATATTGCCTTTGGCCCCCAGACAGTAATAGTCTCTGCCCTTGGTTCTTTCCTTTTTCCTTCCTGTCTATCCCACCCCTACACACAAACTAACACATTCAGGCCCCACAGATGCAAATATATCCACATAAGCCATGTGATACATGTCGTTTACTCTGAGGAGCCGACAGAATGGGCAGCATGAGCCCAACCCAAGACCACAGCAAGCTGCTTCTATCAGCAACTGGCCACAAGTGCAAGACGCCAACCGGGTGTTTTAGATCAGACCTAGGGGTTTTGATGCCTAAAGTGTACAAGCAGATCATTTGAAAGACCTCAGGCAGTTGTGGAATTCCTGCAAATGTAGGAGTACACAGTTTGTATGCAAGACACATGATTTGTGGGCTCAGCAGGTGTACGTCTTTGAGTAACACAGAGAAAAAAGAGCCTGAATTAATTACTGAAATGGTCTCATAGCACACACTACAGAGTGGTGATTATTTTAGAAAGAGAAGCCTAAGTTTAGCCCTGCTTAGAGAAAAATTAGATAAGGTTATTTGGGTTCTTGTGACAAAAACAGCCCATGGCCATTAATCATTAATAACAACATACTGTTTTGAAATCATTTAGCATGGTATTCATCAGCTATGTGACTAAATGACTGCTCCTGTTTGTTCAAATCTGGCCTCAGGGCTTCTTATCACCTCCAGCCAAACCTTAGTCACAGTGTCAGTGACCTCTTTATCTTCATCTATTTACACATTACTAACTTTGTGTCTCCTCTCTCCCGTAGTGTGTCCTCTCTCTCTCCCTGTACCTTTCTGCAGGTTGCCCTGGCCCTGGAGCTCTGTGTCTCTGACGAGCAGTCACCAGCCACATCGACCTGATCAGTGTTTGATTGTTGTGTCTTGTTGCTTTTCTTCTTTTGTCTCTCCTCTATCCACTCACCCCAACCGGTCGAGGCAGAAGGCCGCCCACCAAGAGCCGGGGTCTGTCAGAGGTTTCTTCCGTTAAAGGGAGTTTTTCCTCCCCACTGTCGCCAAGTGCTTGCTCAAGGGGGATGTGTGTCCTGAGATGACTTTTGCTGTGATTTGGCGCTATACAAATAAAATTTGATTTGATTTATCCCTGCCCCATCACTGTGGCCACTGAACCAGCCCTTTTACAGCACTACTTCAGTGTTTCCAAGTGTAGATCGGAGAGTGCTCCTGTGTTTTCTTTAGACGGTGAGCTTTGAAGCATTTTTACTCCCACTGAGACTGTGAGGGGTTTAGAGGCCACTTAATACCATTTTAGTGATATGGGTGAACTGTTTTACTTGGCAGTCTTCACTGGCCACTGCTGGTTGAGGTTCCACTTTTGCATGTCCCTTGTCTAATCAAAAAGCTTAATTTTAGCCTCTGTATATTCAGTAAACCTGTCATTTCATTTTTCCGTCCTGTGTTTGTTTACTGTGTAAATCAAAGGTTTAAGGGACACGTGCTGGGCTGTTCTAAGGGCTGCAATAGAGGCATGGCACCCGTGCTAAATGCCAGTGAGGGTGGATGGAGGGTGTGGTATAGAGGCAGCTGGCAGAAGTCTCTGGAAGGTTTGATCTTTTTGTCTACTGTACGTCCTGTGATCCTTCCTCTTGCAGAACTCCTTTAAGTTAGACTGAGAACCTGCATGGCCCCGTGCTCTTCTGAGCCTTTAATATTATCATTTAACAGATTTTTACAAACTACTTGAAGGTGATTTAAGGGTTTCTGAAGCACTGTTATTAGCTATTTAAACCCATTTAAGGTACCAGTACACACATTACTGGTCAGTTTTGTGTCTGACTAATCAAAGCTTTTGTTTGTCTGACAGCATGTTGTGGATGTGTAACTGATTAATGATCAACGTGTCCTGAAGACTCTTATTCAGCAGCTGTGTCAGTGTTGAATGTGCTGTGTGAGCTTCATTCATCAAGCATCAGTCAGCAGAGCAGTCATTCAACCCAGCCACAGACTGACAGCTGGCCATACAAATCATGTATTTTGCATTTATAAAGTGTAAGGGTTTGATACAAGTATTAAAGGAATTTTAATTATACTATTTTTTTTCTCTTGGCAAGAGTTAGATGAGAAGATTGATACCACTCTTACTGCAATCAGATGATTAGCCTTACTAGCATAAAAGCTGAAAAACCACCAGCATGATTCTGTCCAAAGGGGAAAAAACACACAACTTGTCATTTTTATATTTTCTTTTTTGTAAATATTAAAGAAACAAGATTGTAATGTGTTAAATAGTGAGGTTTGTTTAGGTTTAAACAAAGTCACTCTGTTTTGGGTTTTTTTTTTTGTTATTGTTGTTTTTTACAGGCAGGCACATCGTAAATGGAGC